GTATATTTATAATAAAATATTTTAATAATAAAATGTTATTGTTTTACTGATTAATTTAGGGTAATGTTAATTTATAAATGTACTTTTAATATATGAAAAATATATATATAATTTAAATAAAGTTATGTTAGTTATATTTAATATATTATTTATATATTAAATAAAAAGTTATGTATATCCTTAATAAAATAAATCATAATTTTATATTATGTAATAATATGTCCTAAGATTACATAATATTAATTATTAATATAGGGTAATGCTCATATATAAGAAATAAAATATTTTATTATTATTTGTTATTATTTTTATAAATATACTTCAATTCATTCACAGTTTTAATTCAGTATTTATTTATTTTACGTAAGGGCATTTATTTAAAAAACAGAGCAGGCACACTTTTCAGAAAATAACTGAAATGCTAAAACAACAGATCTAGTGTTAAAAAAAAAACGTGAAAATGAGAAAAACAAGAAAAGTCCCTACAGTACTTCAGTGCAGTTGCTGTGATATTCTGTTTTTAAAATGCAATGACATGTTGACAAGTGTGAATCCAGTGTCTAAATGCATTGTAAGGTCATTAAGGTGAACTTTAGCTGCCTTTTTTCTAGATTACACATTCATATTTAATATCTAACCATGCAGAGGCCCATCACCCATAGCAAACAAACACATCAATACAGACAGATGTAGGTCACGTGAGTGTTTGGTTTCATTCTGTCAGATTACAAATCCATAAACAGCCTTAAATGAGTTCAAATCCAGTTCAGCTCTGTTTGTCTTTCTAGATCTGTCTCTGATCTTCTCTCTCTGCTTTTGTCATTCATTATCGATGCTCTTTTTTCTGTGAACAATGTAAAACAGCCTTCTGAATGAGTTTTTTTCACGGCGAGAACACAGGGTTAAGTGTCTCAAGCAGTTGGAGTCACAGATGAGATGGTCGTTTTAGCAGAGACATATTTAGACAAACACACATATTAACAGACGGATATAGAAACACTCACTCGTGGCAGCTGTGCTGGTTTCACAAAGACACAAGCAGTGTGGAGGTCAGAGGTCAAGTGACTGAGACTCCCACTCTCTCCATGTACCCAAAATAACCTGCGCTCAGTCGTCCTGGATCTCTCTCACATGGATGTATGAAGTCAAATCAGCTCAAGTTGACTCAGGTGTTCAGTCACAGGTGTAGCTCAGCAGTTCACAGCACAATACTTTTGCCATCCTTTTTTCTTCCTTTAAAATAAAGGTCATTTGCTTTAATATTTTTATTAAGGACATCCACTGATTTTCGGTTTTATTTAAGTTATTTAAGACAACATTTGAAGCCCATCCAGAACTCGGAGAATTAATGGTAAGACTTTACAATAAAGTTCAAATCATTAACATTAGTTAATACATTAGATATAATTGAAAACCATTTTTTACAACATTTATTAATCTAGGTCATGTTAATAAAAAAATATTAAATACACCGCTGTTCATTGTTAATTCATAGATGTATTATTTATTTATTTGTTTTTATTTATTCCTCTATTGTTAATTATTAATATATTTTTTATTTATTTTGGATAGTTTTAATTTATAAATAATTCACAGTTCTGCTGGTTTGTTTGTTTATTCTTATTTTTATA